GAAGTCTAATAACCTGTGTGTCCTGTGCGCGGTCGCGTCGCGGCACCGCACTCGGCTAGGTTATGAGCTCGGGAAAGCAAGTTTCTTCTTGATTTTCCAGGATCGGATGAAGGCGTAGGAAAAGTAGAAAAAAGATCCATACAGATAAATACAATAAGTAAATATTTTGTTTCAGCATCGTTCCGACTACTCTTCACTGTCCGAAACATCCAGTCACTCCTTACCACGGAATGTGCCAGAAATCAAACGATTCAACACTGTCGACAATCTGTAAAGTCCATGAAACTGCTGATGACTTCTCAGTTGCCTGTACACGCATGGGTACAAGATGGAATGGATGAGAATCGCTAAAAAATGTAGGAATTGTGTGCCCAAAGTGGGCGTGGCTCAGCGATACCTAAGAAAGCTCCGCCCAGAGTAGGAGGGCCTTTCACGTTTCATTGGTTCGCTGCTTTATCTGTTCGGTCAATAGTAACATGTCTTCTGAACATCATCCATGCTTCCTTTCTCTCTTTTTCAAGAACTAGGGGTAAAAAGTTGACATAGAACCTGTGTCATCCCCGTAGTTGTTGCACTGGAATCTTTTAATCCCAAACAATCCAACGGGTACACTGAGGTGTTCAAATTATCTAGCTTTGTAAAATGACTGTATTATTGCTGGTGATACCATTTACTGGCCCCTCGGGACGACATTCATCGATGATGACCCTCCCAGTTCGACTATGCAGTCCCAGAAATCGCAATCTCGCATTGGTTCCCGTTCATTTTGGAGGATTTTATAAAGCATTCGCTGGATTCCGAATCGATCACATTATTTCACTTTGATTTTCTATATACATACGTTTTATTCGGGAATAAATATCATCACAATCGTTGTCTGCGTTGAGTTTCCAAATTGATTGTACATAAAATTGAACAATAATTCCTAGTGACTCAACCAGGTACACATAAAAACTGCTGCATGGCGTTGCGATTGGTTTTCGCGCACTTGTGGCGCGCCCTCATCTGTGATTGTCAGGTCTCTCGCCGACGTGTCCAGTGTTTCGTCACCTCTCGCTCTTCCGCTTTCTCAAAAACCGCCCAGAAATCAGCAGTGGGACTAGCAATGTGCCTATAGAGATTGTCGCTAAAGTTTGTGGGTCGTCACTCGTTCTGTATTGGCATAGACCATCGTTCGCCCGGTGTTTTAGAGCCAGCGGAATCTCAAGGACCAACTGCAGCGCTAAAAACATGAAGGAGCCAGCTACTCAAAGGCAAAATCTACGCACACTCAGTGGATCCTGACTCTTCCATGTGCGAGGTGAACGGGTCCGCAGCTGCAGTAGTGTGCCACTTTCTCCTCACAGAAGTGCACGTTAGGCTGCGTTTATACTTTGCGGCAGCGTAGCGTAGCGCTTCCAGCGTACGCCAGCGGCAGTGCCGAAGAGAGGATGCATATCGATCTAGCTTCACCAGCGTCACCAGCGGCACGCTGGCGTTTCTCCAGCCGTATGCATCGTTTGCAGGCCGGCACGGGATTAGAGACTATGTGGCGGCAGACGCGCAATCGTTGTGTATTGTAGAGACTATGTGGCCGTCAGAGACGCAGAATCGATGTGTATAGTAGAGACTATGTGGCCGTCAGAGACGCGGAATCGATGGTATAATTGTAGAGAGTGAGTCAGTGAGAGACGCGCAATCGATGTGTTTTACCCTCCAGCTCTCCCATAGTCTCTACTCCCCTGCCGCTGCAAACGCTAGCAAAACGCTGGTGAAACGCTGGTGACGCTGGTGAAGCTAGATCGATATGCATCCTCTCTTCGGCACTGCCGCTGGCGTACGCTGGAAGCGCTACGCTACGCTGCGCTACGCTACGCTGCCGCAAAGTATAAACGCAGCCTACAGGGTTAGAAGGTAGTCATACCCGGGCGCCGCCCCCGAATTCGCGCTGCTAGCACACGACTGACCATAGCCGAGCGCACCTCTTGTCTGCGCCCTCGCATTTCTAGTGTCTCCGTATGACTGCTGTAGGCTGCGTTTATACTTTGCGGCAGCTTAGCGTAGCGCTTCCAGCGTACGCCAGCGGCAGCTGCAGAGAGGATGCATATCGATCTAGCTTCACCAGCGTCACCAGCGGCACGCTGGCGTACGCTAGCGGCACGCTAGCGTACGCCAGCGTTTCTCCAGCGTTTCACCAGCGTTTTGCTAGCGTTTGCAGCGGCAGGGGAGTAGAGACTATGGGAGAGCTGGAGGGTACAAAACACATCGATTGCGCGTCTCTCACTCGCCCTTAGTCTCTACTCTACAATGACATCGCTTCTGCGTCTCCGACGGCCACATGGTCTCTACAATACACGTCGATTCCGCGTCTCTCACGGCCACATAGTCTCTACTCCCTGCCGCTGCAAGCGCTAGCAAAACGCTGGTGCCGCTGGAGAAACGCTCGAGAAACGCTGGTGAAGCTAGATCGATAGCTATGCTTCCCGTGCCCTCGCTACGCCAGCGTGCGCTAGCGTGCCGCTGGCGTACGCTAGGTACGCCTGGTACGCTGCGTGAAGGCTAGATCGAGAGCATCTCTCTTTCGGCACTGCCGCTGGCGTTACGCTGAAGCGTAACGCTACGCTCCGCGCCAAAGTGGAAACGCAGTCCTTTAATTGTTATCTGCAGGATTTCAAAGTTAGCCAGGTTACAGACTTCGTGACGGCAGCGCTTCGGCGCCGATCTGAACAGTTGCCTAGGCAGCGTCACACTTGAGCCGCTACAGCGTCGCGCTACTGCGTCGCGCTACAGCGTCGCGCTACAGCGTCGCGCTACTGCGTCGCGCTACAGCGTCGCGCTACACCGTAGCGCTATAGCACCGCTTCGCAACGTACTGCAATTTCCAACGTTAGGATGATTAGAGTTGCTTATAGAGAAAAGTGGGAAGGTTGTTGGAGTTTTCTTGAGAAATTTGAAAAATTTGTTCCAAAAGTGAACTGGTTTGCAAGCAAGCTTAATATCGTTTAATAGCAAACTTCTCTTAGTATAAGAATATCAAAAAAGCTTTGGTTGAGGATATAGTTTTTGTGGATTTTTCAGTCGTTGAAGTTGGATGAAGTCGCCGAAAATTAGCACCTTCGACAACTGCCTCTATTTAGAAATTTCATGCTAATAGTTGAATTAACTGAATATGAATTTGATATTCTAATACTACGAGAAATTTGCTATTAAACGATATTAAGCTTGCTTGCAAAACTTTTCACTTTTGGAACAAATTTTTCAATTGAAAAAAAACCGCCATTACTTATTAGCCAACCTAATATCTGACCATCCTTGACAGTTACTCCATTAGTCACTATTTTTCTGGTACTGCTTTTAGCGTAACAGTGTCCTTCTGTCCTATTAAGAGCATTTTCTGCAAAAAACACCCAAAGAGTACTCGCGCCACCTAAAAACACGCACGCATGTTTTTTACCGGAGACAGAAGAACCATAAAGGAACTTCTTGTTTGCATTGTGCTAACGCATTGGTGACCAGACAGTGTTCGCGTGCCTGTTGTGGGAGATAAGGCCATTTTTACGCTCCTGGGCCAAAAAAAGTACAAGAAACTGTCAAAGCTTTGTTGGGTAATGCCTCGAAAACGCGAAAACCGGCATGAATCTTTTTCCTGTGATCCAGGCAGAGATTGGGGGCAAATTCGAAAAGCAGATTTCGCTCCGTAATCCATAAGCGGCATAGGATTCTGTATTCATTCTTTCTATATTCAATCCTCTTCTCTTTGTTTCTCATATTTATCTAATAGTGAGCTCCTGTTTTCTACTTTATCACATTTTAATGTAGTTTCGCAATCGGGATCAAAACGAGGCAGCACTGCAAGACATCAAGCAAAGCCATCAAACATCAAGCAACTGTGAAACCAAATAATTAAAGTCAAAAACGATAAATAAAACCAATTATCACAGTCTTCTGTATCAAAAACTACATCAAAATGTGATAAAGTAGAAAACAGGAGCTCACTATCAGATAAATATGAGAAACAAAGAGAAGAGGATGATATAGAAAGAAAAAACATAAAAGCTGGAGTTCGGTACAACTGTAGCGCTACAGCTGTAGCGCGACGCTGTAGCGCTACGCTGTAGCGCGACGCTGTAGCGCGACGCTGTAGCGCGACGCAGTAGCGCGACGCTGTAGCGCGACGCTGTAGCGCGACGCAGTAGCGCGACGCTGTAGCGCGACGCTGTAGCGCGACGCAGTAGCGCGACGCTGTAGCGCGACGCTGTAGCGCGACGCAGTAGCGCGACGCTGTAGCGCTACAAGTGTGAACGCTGCCTTAGCGACACATGGCTATCACTGCCCTTCATCCTCATATCCGCGCGCTCTCAAGTAGAACTTCTGGTAAGGGACCTCGCACTAAAGCCAGGGTGCAGAAAAAAGGGGCTGCGACTGCCACCGCATGGAAAACTGGAAAAGTCGAAGTGGTCGCGGGTCAAGGAGAGCGGGTTCTTGGGTAGATAAGCCACATATCATGCGTGAAAAGTTGGAATTTATAAAATCTCAGTGGTCATAATCACGAGGCAGTAAAGAACAGACAAAGAGCAAAAGTTGAGCGACTGAAAGGGCTGAGTCATGTTGTCCATTGGCAACAGGACTATGCACAGAAGACCGTGGTGTCACGTATCTCGGTTCCATTCTTAACCATTGCCGCAACTGCCATGAAGGCCTGACTCGTCGATGCCTGTCATATCGAGTGCTAGATGCTTTTGAAGTGTTCCTCGACTTTCAAGGCGATATAAGTTACACTTCATTGAATTCTGATTGGACATTTCCACCATCAAATTCAACAACACATTGTACACGATCACGAAACTCCGCCACAGCCTTCTGGACGAGCGCCATCGAGAGATTCTGCCACGCTACCGTGATTCGGTATCTGAGTTCAGGTCGTTGATTCGTCTGCCACTGTTGAGCTCCTCCCGCACCCGGTAATTGAGGGGGTTTAGGTCAGGTGACACATTTGGATATTCTGTCTTCTTCACGTACTCAACGTCCTCCACAAGTAGGCGGGAGTTGTTCGATTCCTGTGTCGGCACCCTGTCTTGAGCAGTACGAATGATGGTACAGGCGACGACATGAAGGTAGGATATTCTCCTCGAGCTGCTCCATATTTCAGACGGTCCAACTTCCGATCCATACCATCAACTCGCGCCTTGGCCCTTGCAGAGAAGATGACATCCTGGACCACAACGGCGTTGTCGGAGCTGCTCGATGTTGGAGGTCTTCCAGATCAAGAGTGCCGGTCCCCATGTAGCTGTCCAT